AAGGTGGAAAAGTAAAACACACACACATATGTATATATATATATATATATATATATATATATATAAAAGAAAAAGAAAGAAATATTAAATTGAAACTATATGGATATAGCGACATTTCCGAAAAATTATTGCGCGAGCTCTGAACGATTAAGGTCTGTAATCTTCTTACGTTTGGAGAACGAAGCCGGTTTTCTTGAAGCGCAAAGGAAAGAGAGAGAAGGATGATGCGTCACCATCCGAGAGGAGCTCAAAAGACTTTCCTACGTAAGCCGGTCGATGATCGTGAGACTCCGAGTCCCAATTTTTTATTTTAAATTCCATGACTTTACTTTCGCAAGCATTTGTACGGAAATAACAGGAATGTATAACTATTAATATCGAACAACGCCTTCGCACGAACATCTTTCGTAATTGATGTGAAATAAATTAATCGTATATTTTTATTGCCAAAGAAAATAGTTGCAATAATTTCTTTTTCTTTCCATTTTTGTTTATTTTTTCTTTTCTTTTCTTTTCTTTTATTTTTTCCTTTCTTTCTTTTTTTTTTTCTTTTTTTTTTTTATAACGGCAACCTTAGCGAACTATTAATGAACTTTTACGGTGAAATAATAACGAACATTGGTTGATTCTGTAAAATCTTAATTAATTTTATCTCGTGTAAGACCATACGTATTCTCATACATATAACGAATATTCATAATAAAGTACGTGTCAAGGATAGAAAGCTATATATGAAATATCTCACAGAGAGATTAATATTTTAACATCGAATTTCAAAACAAGGGAGGGAAATGAAATTCCTATTTTAGGAACGCTATTCGAATAATTTTCAACGACGAACATTTTCCATGGAAATTATTTTTACAAAGAACAAAATTGTTAAACCGTTCTGATCCTTTAATTAAAAATAATATGGATGTGTTATTTGCAATGGGATTAACGACTTATTCGTGAGAATGAAAAATGATATTATAAAAGATATCGTCGGCTGATTGTTTCGTTAACGTTAATTATAAGGAAGAAAAAAAGAAGGAAGATAAATGAAATAAATTCGACGTTTAATATTGGATGAAAAGTTTCTAATTTACTCATAAAGATATCATGTCTCGATATGTCGACCTCTGACCAACGATAATTGACTGTCTCGTCTAGTCTCGTCACTAAATAAACTTAATTACGCGTCGTCGCTCAAATGAAAATGTGAGTCGTCATAATAGCGTAAACGTGAAATATTGTTCCACGTTCCATGACATAACAGCACCAAGGTAGCTATTTAACAGATAGCTTATAATCGTTAACTAGATATTTATGTTTTTCACAAACCGAAACCGCATTGTTTTTTTTCTTTTTTCAAATGCAAATATTTGCACCGAAAGATATATATTCTCATAAAATTCGACAAAGAAATGGTGCAACGAAATCGTCCGATTTAATATTCACGAAATTTTATTAAATTAATTGCTTATCATATAAGCTTTATAGAGAGAAAAAAATAAATAAAAAAAAAAAGAAACAAAATCTCGAGAGCCATTTCTTGTAATAAAAATAAACGAGGATTAATTTGAAACGGAAGAAGAGCCAAATGCTTATTAATTATTGTCTCAGGAGGAAATGGAATGAACATATCGTGCGTTTGAAAATTCAATGGATTTCTGTAAAAATATTTTCGAATCGATTCAATTGTGCCGTTTCATTTTGTATAATGAAAATCAATTGATAAATTCATTGATGCATTTAGAAAATTTTCAAAGCGTCTCTAAATCAACAGATAGTTTTACTATTTTTTCTTTTAAATAATACATAAATTTGCATCTATTTGTATAATCGATGCTCGTTAAAATGAGAGAGAAAAATAAATCATTTAAAGATAAAACACATTTTTCTTTAAAATAAAAAAGTATTATTATTATTATATATATAATAGGTTTATTTCTGCGAAAATATAAATAGATTTAGAAGACAAGATTTATCTGATTTAAAACGATAGTGCGGTCAGAATACTCGACCGCATCCCGATTGAAAAGTTTTCTTTCCTCATCTATTTCTCTCTCTCTCTCTCTCTCTTTTGCATATTTTTGAAATTAATTAGACAGAAGATAGTTATAGGAGAGAGGCAAACGTATACAGACGAACGAGTCCATGTGCAAGAAATTCACTTGCGAAAGCGTACCAAACCATTTTGTTGGCGTCCTCGTCATCCTTCTTCTCATCGTCCTACTGAGAACTGTTACAAGCTTTGCGAGCATCCTGATTGTAATTCCTACAGCACGCAGGCACGTCATTAAAAGAAAGATTTACGAGTAAATATCAAAGCATGCCTATGGCCACGTTACCGGTTGTGGACGCGCTCGTATCGACTATGTCATCAACCTTTAGAATCGATGGCGTCTACTGTCACGCCCATATTGCCAATCTTTTAGTACTATGCTAATCCCTTTATGTTTCTATTGTCGCAAATCATCTTCTTCTTCTTCTTCCATTCTTTCATATACATACATATAAATATTTTTGTTTGCAACTACGATTAAATACGTGTATACGATACGATACATACCACGTTGAGAAATAATTATAAATAATTATCTTATGTTCAAACAAATACGAAAAGATTTTCACACAATAATATATCTTTTTGATATTGTCTTTTTTTCTTCGTTTTAATGGAGAAATGAATTCGTTTCTTTATTCCGCCATACGAGAGGAAAACAAGGAAATGTCTACTATTAGGATCTATACTAATATTTTTCCAGTTTCAACCGATCATTCTTTAATATCCCTTGAAAAGACTTTTAAGATTTATACTTGGAAAAATATCCTATTAAAAATATGTGATTATTAATACTTGGGCGAATTTAATGGAATTTCGAGGAATCGCAACTGTTTCTATAAGAGGTCGTCAAAGGAAAATGTTCTGCGTTTAAATTGCTCAGAAAACACATATTTCATTTGTTGCGTAATTAATTCGAAACGATATACAACGAACTGATTAAGAACGAACGGATATCGAAGGATCGTTTTCACATGCCGAGAATATTTCAATGATTTAACATCTGTGTCTCTGTCCGTTATTTCACGTTATGCATTTGGATTGCGTTAATTGTCTCATTAATGGTTATCGTTTCTCGTCGGTGGCACTCGAGGGTGGAAAATTTATAGACGTTGAGTACTCTCGCACAAATCATAGTATTACTTCGTTCGAAAATCGAGAGCACGATCTAACCTTGACCCGAATAATTGAGCTTACGTTTTACTCATGGAAAAATTTTTTGTCCTACTTTTAACGATTCAATAAATATAATTAATCGATCGGAAATATTGGAAAAGTATTTGCAATCGATTTGTAATTTTGTATAATTTTGTCAATTCTACGAAATATCATTTGATATGTTAATTTCACAATGGCGATGATTCAACGAAGCTTAAAATGGATTCCATTCTTTATTTATCTATTATTCCCTTCGAGTTGGAGAAAAGATTCGGTTTTAAGAAAAACATACGGTGGCCAAATGCTAAATCCTTACGTGACTTCGTCGCAGCTCTTCGATTCGTCTCGCATAAGGATATATCGCAGCCAAACCAGTTTGGACCAGGAAAACATCGGGATCCTTCATTTCTTTCTTTTCTTTTTTCTTTTTTCATCTTAACATTCGCCAACAGCTACAAGAAAGAAGGTGGGCCCTCTCTCGTGGTTCTTCTCTCCCCCTAATTCTTTTTCTTTTTTTCTTTCTCCTTCCTTTCTTTCGTCCTTTCTCATCCTCTTATTCGTCTTGACCGGCCGGTGAACCCTTTGGCAAAATTAGTCGCAAAATCGGTAGGGTCATTCCTCGGAATATTCACACAGTTTACATGAAAATCGTTTTACCGATTGATATTTCATCGTTCCAAATATTTAGAATAAATATTTCATCGAAAATTGTAATTAGCGTACAAACTATTTTTAATTCGTTCAAACATTATTCTTTTTTTTTTCTTTTTTTTTTTTTTATTATTCCTTGAACGCATAATTATCGTTAGATAATATTATTTTCAAGAATTTATTATTCTTTCGCGAACGATGGTAAAAACTACCCCCTCGTTTTTCTCTAAGGCACCTTGTTCGTAGCGAAGTAGGACATTCTTGTAATTAAATTCATAATTACGTAGAAGAATGACGAAAGTAAATACTCCGAAGAAATATAATAAAAGTAAAGATTCAATGGATCTTGCTATTTCAATTAATATATCCGCCTAGTATGAAATGTCGAGATGAGGCGATCGTAAAAACTTGCTTGAAATAGCGAAGGAGTATTGTAAAGGCCGTTCGAAAGAAATGCTTATGATCGAAGAAATCTTTACAAACGTATTCGACAGCTCGTAAAAACGAATAACCGAGCATCTTTTACTCCTGTTCATAAGGTGGGCCATGTACTCACGTGTTACAGGATGTAACGCGCGTTACCGAAGCGAGTTATCCTTGAGTTTGACTTTCTGCGTTTCGATACTGAAAAAGAACGACGATGAAGAATAAGGCTAGCGAAGAGAAAGTAATGATGGCTATTCGAACGCATTGATTCGTAATGGGGGTATAAATCTTCCCGTTGTATTTGCGAAATTCCCTTACTTATTAATTATCTACTCGATTATTTTTTATTCGCATTTGCAAAGTACACGAGATGATTCGATTTGTGTCAGAAGAGAAGTGCACCTGGATTTAACGAACTCGTCTTATCGAGATTTAAATTTGAGAAATATCAATGTTAATATGGAGAAATTTCATTGGTCTTTCGTTTCAGTTAAAATTTCTCTAAAAGAAAAAAAGAAAAGAAAAGAAAAGAAAAGAAAAGAAAAAGAAAAAAAAAAGGAAAAAACAAAAATATTCTGTATCTTCGATTTAACGCGAAGAAGAAAGTTGAATCGATCATTTCAATAAGAAAGGTAAATATTATACGTAAAAGTCGTTTTTATCGTTTTTTATCATTAAAAAAACAAGACAGAGAGTTTAATCATATCGATTCTTAGATCGGCTCTTCAACGAAAACGGGCATTTAATCCGATTTTCGTTTTCGATTAAATGGTTATGGTTCGGTCTTGTAATAAAGATGTAAATTTGCAAATTTCGAAAACCTGATCACGAGTATCAAATATGGATTAGTCACATGCAAATATCTTCGCTTTTGTGATCGTTTTTCTAATAATACTTCAAAAGATCATATAAAATTGATTCGAGGTTATATAATGTTCTCCTTTATTAAAGTTTCAAAGAGATTATGCTTTATGGGTCTTTTCAAAAGGTATTAATATAACGAATCCGACATAGTCGCGTGTACTTTGCTATTCGAAATGAATGATAATTAATAATCATGAATAAATACTTTTTGTATTATTCTTAAAAACCGCGAAGGACACTAGCACATATTTTTCAATATTTCATATTTTGCAATGTCGCGTGTGAAAATGAAAATCGATTAATCGCTTTCCTACAAGAGATCCTTGTTCGAGAATGGCCTATTATCATTATTCACTAGCCGCTACCAATTAACTTTTTTCTCTTTTTCCCGTGGAAAAGAACGACGTTTGGACGCTTTAACGAATGACTCTTGAAAGGTACCGATTACAAAGTAATATTCCAATTTATTAAAAGCTCTGGTCGTTAAAAAGTCACGAATCTTGCGACCATTCTTTTATAAGTTGTCGGTTTTTTCATAGAATTGCAAAAAAAAAGAATGAATTGGAAAAATAAAACAATAGAGGAATTATTTTGGAGAAGAGTCAATAAAATTTATTTATCTTTTTGACATAGATGTTTACGATAATATATAATAGTATAGTCGACGTATGCGAGAGAAATTATTTACGAGCGGAATCATTCATCCGATTTCTCATGAATGATGAAATTGTCCGAAAGTACATGATACGAATTAGACCACAGGTATGTAGACCTGCATCCACGTTTATTAATTGTTTGAGTTCTCTTTCGACTAAATGCATATTTATAATAAATATATATTATACCGTAGCAAAAATATTAAAAGCCGCTGTACTTTAAAATTCTGTCGGACAAATAAAAAAAAAAAGAAAGGATGAAAAAGTAAAGAGAATGGATTCAAACTTTTCGTATTAGAATATTGAATCTTTTTTACTTTTGTCCGTTAGTAGATATCGAGTTTTTGCTCTCTTTGCAAAGCTCACTATTGTCGGAAACATTAAATGGATTTTTACGAGAAGTCAATCAAACGCGAGCACTCTACTTTTTATCCCCTAATGAAATACGATAACGCGAGTACCAAGATCGATATTCTTTACACATCATAGATATATATATATATATATATCTATGTACATATATAATATATATGTTATTTCCGGTCGAACGAAATTTTGTTCTTGTTCTTTGTTTTCGATCGAGATCAAATGATAGCGTTAATGATAAATACAATATTTCAATATAAGTTATTGTATTCTTTCTCTTTTTATTACTTTTTCTTTTTTTTTTTTTTTTTTTTTGTTATTAATTCCATTTCCTTTCTTCCGTTTTATTCTTCTCTTATAAAAATTGATTCGACGTTAATGGTAGTTTTTGTATTTTGCACTTTTTCTTTATTCGTGAATCATCGTAGAAACAGTGAGAAACGAATGGTCGTTGTTATGTTAATGATTTGTGGCGGAAGCGATAGGAAGATTCCGGCATGATTATGCCAACACGATTATGAAAATAGATCGTTTCAATCTTGATAAAAATATAATTGCAAAGGATCACGAGTTCTTTACTTCGATCGTTCTTACGAAAAAAAAAAAAAATAAAAAAAGAAGACAATGAATCATTACGTATTGCCATCTGATAAGTTACAAGAATATCGATTTATAATAATGCGTACGGAGATCAATTCTACAATGTTTGCTACATTTTGTAATAATAATAGGATTAGGATTTTAGAATAGAATTTAAAAAATTCTACCGAGTTTCTTCGAGTTCAATGGGCGTAAAAATTCGACAATAAAGAAGTCGAACGCGATGTGATTTTTATAACTTTTAAATTTTATAGAATGCGATACTTTTCTTTTCATTGAAGGAAAGTATGTTTCCTATATTAAAAACTTTGAAATATTTATCAAAGGCTTTAAAAGTTTTTCTTCTTGGAACGTGTGCTTCTTTAATGACAAAAAATAATTTAAAAGTTCGAAGAAACAAGAATGAAAGTCCATTTAAATGAGAATAATATTAAAGTTTCAAGAAAATATTTTAATTCGTTGATTACGTGTAAACGAAAAGAAAAATAATCAATAAATAAGTAAATAAATAAAATAATTAGTTATTACTATTTTAATGATAAGTTTGATTGGTAACAATCAAGTTCGCATTTTAATTACTTTTCTAAGATTTTGATTTTATAGATAATTTACTCTTCCCTTTTTTTTTTTTTCTTATCTCCATTCGATTTCTTTAACTTCTCACGTTCACTTTATCGTCGTTTTTATCGATCTGCGGGATATTTTGTTGATCCTTAAAGCTTTAAAATAACATGACAAAAGCCTTCGTAGGTGTAGAATTACGCTTCTAAAGTCAACCTAAAACGTGAAAGACGAAAGTTTACCTCGCGGAACGAAAAGTAAAGTTTAATATTACCTTCGTTGAATTCCTTTCCGTTTGAGAATTTGAGCTCAATTTTCTATCGTAACTAGTTTCGTTGCCAAAGCTGTTACGAATTTTGATTGGCTCATGATTTTCTCTCTTTTTTTTTTTTTTTTTTTTTTTATACGGTAACAACAAGGCAATATTGTTTTTCCTGTTTTCCATTTTCTTTGCAATCGAAAATTCTTGAAATAATACTTAATTGGTTGATACAGAATGAAGACAAAGTCTTTATGTAGATATCAATTGTCAGAATAATTATCCTCTTAAGTAAGAATAAAACTCGAAGATCAATTCTAATTGAATTTGACATGAATTATAGGAAGTCAATGATACTATAAATAAACTACTCGTTAAAAGTTCTTGCAGGTAAGAATAGACTGACTGTGATGCAGTCCCAGGAAGTTTACTTTCGAAATAACATTTCAATCCGGCATCCTAATTGATTATTTTCTTAACGAAGTCTAAAACAACTTTATCGATTATAGTCTTGTAAAATAATCTTCCGTCTCTCTTTCTCCATCTATCTATCTCATTAGTCGAAATTCATTGAAACAACTTGTAAATCCTTTATCTGAATACGATCGTAACGATCGAAACATTCAAGCTTTTTTTCTCTCTCGTCATTCTTGGCAATACTTGAATCATCTGCACCTGCTGCAAATATTTTGAGCCGTCGTAATGTGTCTCCTTTAATGTGTCTTTTTAATCAATCGTACGAAACTGACCGTTGATAAATATCGAGTCGTTTCAAAGGGCATGAAAGCAAGCCGATCGTAAAATAAAGGATGAGTAGTATTAATGTCACGTAAGAACAAAAAGTCTCCCCGTCGCCTTTAAATACTATCAAGTTGAACTATTGCTCAATGTATTTGTCTATAGAAATACGAACGTGCCGTAGATGACGCACTTGCGAGGGTTGGTTCATTGTCAAAAGAACAATAGTTATAGATAAGGAAATATTCACCGACTATGATAATAATTTTATTCGGGGATCTTTCCAAGCTATATATGTATATAAATATACAAGCTATCTATATAAGCTATAATGTATAGACGACACGCAACTGACAATGCTAAATTATTACAAATTGTGAAAGCGAATCTTCTTATTACTTTTAAATATTTATGAGTCATTCTTTTGGATAAAAATAAAATTGACTAATACGTATTCGAACATGTACTTTTGAAAGTACAAAAACTTGTACATATTGTTTTTCCACAGAAAAGAAATCAAATTTGTTCGTATTTTATCAAATATTAAATAATAATGGTAAGAAAACACGATGCAAAACATCTATCAGACGTTTGGACAAAGATTAGAACGATTTGCGAGGAATAATTTTCCATAAGAGTATCGACTACCAACTTGGGAATCTCCTTGACACGTACTGTTTTCCACGGATATTTCTGTCTATCGTAGAGATGAAAGGGACCAAAAAAAAAAAAAAAAAAAAAAAAAAAAACAGAACAAAACAAAACAAAAGAAAAAAAAAGAAAGACAAAAATGCCAATTTTTTTTTTCTTTTTTTTTTTTTTTCGAAAAACAGGACGATCTTGTTAAACTGAACTGAAATCGATTCCTTTTATTGTTGATATTATTATAAACTTTGTCATAGTTAGTAGATAGAGGAAAAAAGAAAGAGGAAGATTTTTTCAGGACAGTGATCTTTGACTATCCATTAGTCTCGATGTTTGGAAAAGGGAGAAAAGACGAAAGAGAATTAAATGGTGAACGAAAGGAAGAAAATCGATTTTACAGTAACGAAAGTGCAATTTGCAGAGAGCTATCTATCTTTGAGCACGATCCTTGACACCCTTTGAGGGGTAATTCGAGTTCGCGTTCGAATATGCTACGTAATGTAATCCCTAATGTGTCGTATGAGAGTAAGCGAGAGGAATCCTACTTGCGATGGAGTAGAAATGCGCGTCCACAGGTCCGACAACCGGTTGTCGCATCTTTTCCTTTTCGTTATATAATGCGAAGCATCGCAATTACTTATCTGGGCCAGATTCGAGATTGCCGATACACAACACGATGTTCGATATATCTTGTATACTCATGTATATAACACAGAAAAGAGAATTTACGTCAGCATTGAACACGCTTGGGAATAATCCTACGTATTATTCATGAACAACTAGAATAAAATGTTTCGTTTATATAGAGAGAATATTCGATACGATTGTAAATTATACTACAACAAATTTTTTCGATTCGCTAAAGTATTTTTTCAAAGTTTAAAAAAAAATAAATTATTTTAATTCATTTTAGAACATAACAATATGATATCGTCATTCTTCGTCGAATATTATGTCGTAAAGAATTAATCGAGAGAGGTAAATAGGAAGAAAGGAAATACGTTATACGGTTGATACAAACTTCAAGATTTAAGAGTAATCTCTCCGGCGTCGATGCGGAACTCGGAAGGTAAGATGATATCTGATATAGTTATAAATCTCTAAGGAATCTTTTCATAAATAAAGTAATTCGATATACGAACGTAAAGTCGATAATCGTCTTATGGCGTTGATACGTTGCAATTGCTCTTAATACAGTGAAGATATAAAGCAACCATCGTCGTGCTTTCATATTAAAGTTATACATTACTAAGATGATCTTTTTTTTTTACGGTGTAAATTGGAAGTAAGTAAAATGGTATCCTTCAGATAATATGTTTTTACGAATAATCAAAGTTATCTCAAAGTACGAAGTTGCTTAAAAAAAAAAAAAAAATAAAGATCTACTCGTATTTAATTATGTTTTGTGATTCATTAAATGTACACACATATGTTGAATTTTTACCTTTTATTTTTTATAAATTTCGCTGACCTATCCTCGCCAACTGAAAGAATCCTTACGAGAAGAGAAGAAAATTTTTATTCACATTGCGACGCTTTGACAAAATGACAGTTCGTACTTCTGTGTAGTACAAAGTTTCTCACTTCAACGTTCTTACATTTACTTTGTGAGGTAATTCCTTTGAAAGATTCTTCGAAACGTATCGAATATTTCCTATGAATTTTTCGAATATCATTCTAGTGAAATCTCGTTTAAAAGATCTATAAGACTTGAAAAATTATTAATGATTTTCTTCCTTGGACTTTTACTCCAATAATTTTCTTCTATCGAAAGAGCAATGGATCTTCTAAATTTCGAAATTGAAGAATCTCATTTATGTTAGAAGACATAGCACGATGAATAATTTGACGACGACGTGGAGCACTCAAATGGCTTATTACCTTATTCGCCTGAAGATTGGCAACTCTCTGTACTGTATCGATAATGTCGCTCGAAAGTGATATTTTGTCGATAACTTTTCAGGCTCCTTACGATAGGCAACATGTTCGTAAAAGCTAACAAATTCGATAATGATTTTTTAAATCTCATTTCTTACATATTTCACGGAGAATGGTTCGATTACATAAATGAAATGAATATATTTTGGGTTAAAATAAATAGGAGCGTAGTAGATTCGCTTTGAGGTAAGGAAAGTATTGAAACGTTTCGGGCGTTGTACAGGCAAACGTTCCAGTTTCCATGAAATCATTATTGCACGACGTAGGTCTCTTGATTACGAGCGACGATAGTTGTTAATAGGTCTCTTTGTTCCAATTTGATCTTCGTCTAATTGCAATCTCTATGCTTACGTTTGCATTGCAGTTTTCCAGTTTCTCCAATAATACTGGTTTATTTTTCCTTTGAATAAATTGCTATTTTTAATGAATTAAAACGATAGCATATTGAATTCGAAAGCAATAGCCCATAATAAAAGAGAGAAAGAGAGAAAATATATTTTCCGCTTAAAGAATATCAATGGGATTAGAAGAAACCAAAACAAAAGGGTTAATTATTTAAATTTAATCAGATTTCGTTTTTCTCTTACATAGTAGAGAAAAGAAAAATGTTTATAATACTGTTTCTCTTTTAAAACGAAAAAGGAAGACGAACAATTTTCCTTGGCTATTTAACTCTATCATTCTTTTTCATCCTGTCTACGATATCCGCGTATTTTTCAAGTCATCGTTTCAACCCTACTACGAAAGATTTCTCAATAATTTAAAGGAGATGAGACATTAAGTCTAGATAAAGAGAATAAAACGGATATCTGAGTTTCTGTCGTCTACGTCACGTTATATCAGTTTTAATCATAAAGTTACGCCTAAAGCTCGAAGGATATTTCTTTTCTGACTTTTAAATTTTCGAAAATAAAAACAAAGAGATATATCAAACAGTTCGCGCGTTATTACAATTCTGCAAAAAGAGAAAAAAGAAAACAAAAAAGAAGAAGAAAAGAAGACAATATTTCGAACTCGATGAATAGTATATAAAGTCGCTTACTGTATTTTTTCTTTATCATCAATTGAAACAAAAGTATGAAAAGGATAATGAAAACTCCGAAAGTCGTCGTTTTAATCTTTCGTAAATCCGACGATTCTTTTGTCCTCTCGGGGATTTGAAAATCTGATAGAAAAGATTAATTAATAGAAACGAATAAATGTTTGAATTTCAATTAAAATTCACTTGGATTCGAAAGGTCGTTGCTAATAACCATCATCATTTTATTTACGATCGATTAAAAATCATTTTCTAAAGGAAAAACTCTCTCATCGAAACATTTTTTATTTCTCATATTAAAAGAAAAAAGTAGGAAGCAAGAAGTAATTCTACGTGGTATAATATATTATGTATACGGCTATTTAAAGATTTTAAGTAACTTTTTAATAACTTTGAAGAGAAAAGTTATCTCTAAGTAATAAAGTATCTTTCCTATTAAACATTTATCCGCTGAAAAACAAAAAAAAAAGAAAAAGAAAAAGAAAAGGAAAAAAATAACGCTTACGCGCTTTAAGAAAGGGTATCGAAAGATCGATACTTGTTTCTCTTTAAAGAGCATCTGTTAAAAAATTATCATCGATCGATAATCAAAACGTCGATAAAATTGATCGGTCGATAATCAAAACGTCGATAACGTTGATCGGTCGATAATCGAAACGTCGATAACGTCGATCGGTCGATAATGAAGGTTTTATCATTTCTCGAATAAATTAACCTCTTCGATAAATATATTTCATTAACAGAAATTGATAAAAAGTTTAAGAATAATAATTATTCGAAAGATACATTTTTTTTTCTGCTTGAAAGAAAAATTGCAATAATCTTAAGGTGAAGTTAGTGATTCTCATTAATTTTTTTCTTTATTAATTCTCGAGTGAGAATAATGCAATTATATCGTTGAATTAATCTCACGTGATTTATATTCGAATTATTTATATCTGAATGTTCTAATCTTTAATCTCAAGGCTCTTTCTTATTTAAGCATCATTTTAACGAATTTTAAAGAATATCTTTCTAAAACGATCATTATTATTAAGATAAATATTATTAGTATAATATTATAATTGTATGGACATAAGGAAAAAAAAAACAAGATACGAAAAGATAAGTTATGGACAAATAAAATAGTGAGATTAAATGTAACGATAATGCTTAGAAAATGAAAAAATCGCTTTTTGAAAAATGAAAAAATATATCTATAACGTTTGCCGTCTTTGCGGTATAACAAAAAGAAAAAAAGAAAAAAAAAAAAAAGAACTATGGTCGCTGTGATTTAAAATTTATTTAAACGTCCTCATAACTTTCTCTTCTCTATGAATAAAACTTACTAACGTGCTTGTCGTTGGATAACTTTTCTGTCCCTTTTTTTTCCTTCTTCTCTCTCAGTTTCCAGTTTCAAGGAGCAAACAAAAAAAAAATTCTTCGTAATCGTCCTAGATAAAAAACAGAGATAGAAATATTCTTATACGATAATTTACCATTTCTATTGCTTTACTACGTTATAATTTTCTTTCCTTGTTATTACGTTTGGATGAATTAATCGTAAAAAAGAAAAAAAGAAAAAACAGAAAGAAAATAAAAATAAAAATAAAAATAAATAACTAAAATTATTAGATACAAAAATAACGATGATAAATCGAATGAAACTTTTTGCTCGTGGATTCCAATGACAAGAGAGTTTGAATATAACTGACGCTTTCCTAAGCGTAGCTATGTAATGCATGTATCTATGTATATAATACATCCAATATGATAGAAGTAAATAAAAGCTATCTAGTGATGACGCCAGAGTCGTGCCCCTCTCCATTTCATAGTATGTATACGCTTTGTTACGACATAAACGATGCAACGCAACGTCGACGATGACGAAGAGAAATAATAAGGGAAGGAAAAAGAAAAAGGATGGAACGAGAAAAGAGGAGGAGGAGGAGAAGAAGGAGGAGATGGAGGAGGAGGAGGAGGAGGTGGAGGTGAAAAAGAGGGAAAGACTTTACGAAATCGTATCGGTCGCAACCTAACGTCGGCAAACGGCAACGAGCTGTTACGGCTTGAGCTTCTCCTTTTCGAAAGAGAGAGTTCGTTCTTTCTTGCATACGTCTATGTGCGACGCCTTTGTCTAACAGAGAGAGAGAGAGAGAGAGAGAGAGAGAGAGAGCGAGAAAGGGGGCGGAGAGGGAGAAAGAAGAAGAAGAAGAGAGAGAGAGAGAGAGAGAGAGAGGATTTGGTCGATCTCAGACGTAGAAAAAGAACTTTTGGCAAACAGTGACGACCAAGCGAGTAGAGCAAACCAATTCACTTGCCAGTGATTCTCACGAAGTTTTCGTGTGGATCAGCCTCCTTTTCTTTGGATCCAAATCCATTTCTTTCTCTTTTTTTTTCCTTTTTTTTTCTTCCTTTTTTTTTTTCTTCTTCTTCGTCTTTTGCTTTTCTACATCTTATCAAAGTGACTATCATACGAGACATAAGCACATAATATAGCTAAGAATTCGTTAACGAGGATTTTGGGTCCATTAGAAAAATTATTCCATTTTTCTTCCACCCACCGATTCTGTCCCCTCTATCCCACAGGAATATTTCTCTATTTACAAGGATTTCAAATTATTCGTGAAATATTCAACGGTGATTAAGTGAAATATTCAACGGCGATATTGTTTTAGAGATTACACTGTGACAACGCATAAAGAAAAAGGGGACACGATGGCTTGCGATCGTAATATTACGAGTAAGTGATAAATTATATTTCTTTTTCCATTTTTCTTTCTTTCTTTCTTTCTTTTTCTTTTTTATTCTTATCTTTTTATTTTGCATTATTCGTTGTACCTACTTGAAATGTAAACGATAATTAATTATAAAACATAATGACAGTATTATCAAGTCTGTACTTTATTGACGCGTCTGACTCTGTAATCATTATAGGTACAATACGAAAAGTATTATAATTTCGGTGACACTTAAATAAAGAATACTGTCAAGTTCTAATATAATCGGGAATTTCTTTTATCGCTTTTAACGTAACAAAAGTTAGGTCGATTTTATGTTTTTACATATATTTTCTGTCTCAAAGTTAACAAAGAAAATGTATCAATCATGAATTTTCCATTCGAAATTCTAATGTGGTTCATCGAACTCTTGTTCACAAGTGGAATTTTACAAAATATCTTGTTGGAAGAAAAATATATTATACGGAAGGCAGATATACAATGCCGACGATCATGATGAATAATGGAGCGCGAGAACATAAGGAGGAGAATGAAGAAAAAGAAGAAGAAGAAGAAGAGGAAGAAGAAAAAAAAGAGAAAGAAAATAGAAGGCATAGTTCTACGCATTCGAGTTGCTCGAGCGTTAGATAAAAAGAGATTATCGCGATCTTTAATAGCTCGACCCGAATTAATGCATGTCTGACATTAGACGACGGGATTTGCACGCATTAGTTTATACGCTGACACTTTCGTTTTCAAAACTCTGACGTCAGTTTCTATTTCGGTTATTTTCTTTTTATATTTCATCAACAACGAAGAAAATGCAAATAGATGTTGGAAAATACGAAGGAGTCCAAGTTCTAGGTGAAGGTTGTTGCATAGGTATTCAGTTTTACTATATCTCGTTCGTCTCTGAATCGTGCAAATTTCATTTCCTTTTCTTTTTTTAAGTTTTGTTTTCATTCTTTTCGTCATATTATAACCACAAGGCTAAATAAAATATTATTTCACAAGGAAAAATATTAGAAAAAAAAATATGGATAATAATGAGAATTTACAAATTATAAGAAAAAAGAAAAAAAAATTTTACATATCTTAATTGCTTTAATTTATTGTGTAATTATCTTGTCGTCCATATATATTCCTAAATAATATCAAAATTCAATCGAAAATATAACATTTATTTGCAAAAATCGATAAAACATTTTTATGCATCGTGAAAATATTTATATTAATAGTTGTACGTAAACAGAAAGAAAAAAGAACAGGTAAATAAAAAGAAAAAAAAAAGCGAAAGCAGAAGAAGAGTACATTTTTGCATCTAAGATAATGAGCGATTTGTTAAGAGAAAAGGGTGAAGCTTAGAATCATAGCTAAATCTAATATTGTACGCTCTTAACTGTATCATCGCACGAGGGATATATATATATATATAAATGTACATGGGCATGTAATAGATTCCCTTGCTATAACATGCGAAATGAGAACGAAATAGGCACGTTGATAAGTTCGTTTAACGTTCATGGACATCCGGCCTACCCTCTTCTCCTCCTCCTTCTCCTCCGTCCCCTCCTCCTCCTCCTCATCTTGTTATTCAATGTCTAATACACTTAATAGACGTAATGTAGATAAAGAGGACTCGTATCGTATTTTGTTGATCCAACTTTTTCTTCTACTTCTCATGACTCATCAAACGAACGTTACTAAAGTAGATCGATAAGATTTAAACAATGATCCTAATTGAATTCTAGAGAGAATCTGATATCTTCTTCTAATCCCCTTCTAATCCTCTTTTAATCCGTTGTAACAACGTAAATCGCGACTCGATAATGATCTCTCACGATCGATGAATCCTCTAAATTGTATCCGTAAGCAAAGAAATAAATTGCAGTGTTACGTCGATCGTTTGCGTAATATCTATTTGATAACAATCATTTACCCATCATCTTTCGATACGATGAATTAATATTTTGATATAAATAAAGATCTTTAGAATTTCTATTATATATATATATATATATTTTTTTTTTTATACGAACATTTAAAGAAAGAGATCTTCCGTTTTTATATGATTAAAGATTAAAAAGTCATACCCAAACTACGATAGAAATAAGAAAAATAACTTTCCCTATGATCTATTAAGATTTATTTTAACTACTTACGTTTCTAAATTCCACATCGAACGTTTTGATTCTTCCTTTTTTCGGTTTCGAAAGATCAGTTTCTCCGGAGGGAGAGAGAGAGAGAGAGAGAGAGAGAGAGAGAGAGAGAGATAGAGTTCAAAGTTCAACGCGAAAAGATGAAAAGGTCACGAAATGGAGTTGCTTTCGTTCTCGTTTTACAAAGAAAATTTCTATTGCTCGTTCACGGCCACGTGAACAAAAATGAAAATACAATTACTGATGAAGATATATATGCACAAAATATGCGTAACGTGTAGATACGATTACGTTACATGAAAATTGCTTGAAGACTTTGATCTATGCAAACGAACGTTTGTCATCGATTATCGATGATAATCTTATCCCCTTCCGTCATATTATAAACTCGTATACGTAATCTCAATGTAACCTGTTTTTCCAGAAAATCAATCAGTCGAAAAGTTTTTCCCATTTTTATTCTATTTTTATTAAAATATATATTCCAACGTGTATATTCAATTATATTTCAATATCTAAATATTAGATGTTATTGATCGAACGATCATTGATTTTCTAATCGATTTAATTTTTTTTTTTATTCGATTATAATTTGATATCAATATTATTTTATTAAATAATTAAGAAATGCGAGACATAAACTTCGATGGCTTAATTATTAAGGTAGAAATATTCATTGAGATTTAAGCTTCGTGCGAGTTTCAAAGAATAAAAGGTCCGAATCTTTCAAATTTCTAAATGGTTCCACATATTTAAATGATACAAACTATCGCGTTTTAATCAGACAGTTATTAAATGAAATATTTAAACATTTCGAAGAAATCCATAAAGATATCTCTGTAGTACGTACAAATTTGTTACGTACGAATTCTTTGAATATTTATCATCCGGTAAAGTCGCTTAATTCCAAGAAATATTTTTCTCTGATCATTAATAACAACCAGTTAATTGACGGATTTTCAGATCGACTAAGTTGCCTGCAGGTGTTAAACATTATGGTGATACTCGGTTTCATGTTGAACTATATGCTGCGTGTTAATCTGACGATTGCCATCGTATCGATGGTGAAGACGTCTACTAATAAGTATTCACATTCCAATAATTCTCACGATATCATTCCAATTGATAATAGTAGTTTGACGATTGAAGCTCCTAAGACGACAATGCTAACTGGGAATGTTTCGAGAATGAACGAATCGACTTTTACTTCGACGTTGACAACTCGATATGTACGTTATTTTCTCTATTTCTTTTGCTATGAGATATTTTTCTATTTTCAAAGAAAGAAATCTGGGAGTGTACAAGTGGACGGAAAAAAAAACAAATAAAAAGAAATAAAAAAAAAAAGAAAACTCCAACGATCGATCGATTCCTTTCGTAGGAGGAGTTAGAGCAAACCAGGTATCCATGGAACGAATATGAGGTCAATCTAATTCTCGGAAGTTTCTATTGGGGTTACATCTGCACGGAAATACCTGGAGGTAGATTGGCTGAAATTGTTGGAACCAAAAGAGTCTTTGGCTATAGCATGTTGGTGTCCAGCGGTATCACTCTTCTCACGCCACTTTTCGCCAAATTCGGATACGTCGCAGTCGCTGTTCTTCGAATTGCTCTTGGTTTTATGCTAGTAGATACTGTTTGCAATGTTTCCTTTCTACGACCACGATATATATATATATATATATATATATTTAATCGTTTGATTTTATAATTAAGGGTGTCACATGGCCTGCTATTCAACCGATGACTGCTCGATGGATTCCACTGACCGACCGTAGCAAATTCGTTTCCAATATGATGGGTAAATTACATTTTATGTTTATATCAATGCTGAGAGAAGTGAAAAAAAAAGAAAGAAAAAAGAAAAAAAAAGAAGTAACGAAAAACGAAATAATTCAATTTATTTCCTGTAGCATCCTCATTGGGTGCGGCGATCACGTTGCCAATTTGCGGTTTTCTCATTGCCTCTCTCGGATGGGAATCTGTCTTCTACGTAACGGGAATAGTCGGATTGACGTGGAGCATAGCGTGGTTCTATTTCGTCTATGATTCACCCTCGCAACACCCACGCATCTCCGCCGAGGAACGAAACTACATCGAGGAATCCATAGGAACTACCTCGTCCCCCAAGGTATAATAAAGAAAGAGAGAAAGAGATAGAAAAAAAAGAAAAGAAAAAAAGAAAAGGAAATAGATCTTTGCGTATTTAATCAAATCAATTCGGTTCATTCTGACGAAATTAAAAGAGCTTCCTTCTCTTAATCGTGCTTGTTTACAATCGATCGTTCGAGTAATTTTACGTCTAACGTCAGGCACGATACAGGCTTTTTATTTTTTTCTTTTTTTCTCCTTAAAGATAATAAACAGAAATGCATTTTTATAACGTTTTTATCTAATCTAGACTTCACCTTGTACGATTAGCATTTTCCAGTACCGTGGAAGTCAATTTTCACTTCGCTTCCGGTTTGGGCGATCCTGATAACACACGGGTGCAGTGTATTTGGATACTTCACGGTTGTTAATCAATTACCTACCTACATGAAATATATACTCAATTTTAATATCAAAGAGGTAAGACAAATCGACGAATACGAATATAATAAAATTTATTTGCATATTACGAATAATACTTTTAAACGTTTCTATCGTTTTAATATTTTGTATAGAACGGGATGTTATCTTCGTTGCCTTATCTTGGAAAATACATTTTTGCTTTAATGACTTCAACGTTGGCCGATTATCTTCGTCGTACGAATAAACTTTCGGTTACTGCTATTCGAAAAATTTTTACGACTTTCGGTATGTATTCGATATTGACACATTTTAAATATATATATATATATATATATATATATATATATATATATTTATATTTATATATTGTCAGCGCTTAATAATATTGTGAAATAATGTTTCAGCGGTGATGAGTCCGGGATTACTTATGATCATTCAAGCGTACCTTGGTCGCGATCCTACGATGTCCGTGGCAATTTTTACCGTTGCTTTGACGATAAACGGTGGAGTTACAGCGGGCTATCTTGGAAACGGCCTTGACATTGCACCCAATTTTTCCGGAACGATATTTGGCATTGCCAATACGATTAGCTCGTTTGGTGGCTTTTTGAGTAGCTTCATGGTTGGTTCGATTACCTATCAAAATCAAACGTATGAAAGTTGGAGGATAATCTTTTGGATCCTAGCGATTACTTACTGTACGGGCGCTTTAGCTTTCGCATTCCTTGGTACAGGAAAATTACAAAAATGGAATTATCCGGAGGTTAATAGTATCGGTAAAAAAATGAGAAATCTAGAAAACGACGTTGACGCAGAAAACAGAGAACCGTTGAACAATAAAACACTTTCGTAATATCGTTATAGATCATAGAAAAATGATACATTTCCAACGTATTTCACTTCATCGACTAACTTATTTATCACGAGTAAGCACGTCGCAGCTAATAGAAAAATAAACAAAAAATACCCTTGTACATATATTCAATATATTGTCTATCATTGACGGTGAAACGCGTTATGACTTTCAATGTATCAAAACAAAGTTCAAAACATTGTTAAATAATATTGTAATATTGTACGAAACGTAAGATTTATTGTATGACGCATTACCATGTAAAAATATGTACAAAGTAATGATAAATATAAAAAGAGAAATTTTCGATATTCGAATATCGTTCGATAAAAATGTTTATTCAGTAGAAAAGGAAATGTTTTTATAAACAAGAGATAGGATTTTATGGAAGGTTACGAGAGCGTCGATAAGGCCGATATCTATTATCGTACGTAAATATGTAGGTACGATTCCATCGGATGATTCCTTATCGACCGGTGACTGAAATTATGATAATATTTCGAAGAACGAATAAGGAGTGGCGCTGGTATTATCAATTTAAACCTTCGGATAGTTTAATCATAACAAATGAATTAAAAGATGGTAAACAATGGAATTTCTTCGTTACTATTTGAAATATATTCACAGATCTCTTTTACGTAATCGCTTCGTGCATCCTCGTTTCTCGTGTTCCTCGTGTTTAACGTCTATCCTTCCGCGAACGAACGAACAGGAGGTGGAGAAGATAGAGGAGGTAAGAACGAAGAAGACGTGGCGCAAGTGCGTCGCGGTGTCCGGCGTAGGGGCGCCCTGCGTTGCGGTGGTGCTCGCCGTGACGCGTGGCGCTGCGGCGCTCCACCGATGTGCCAGGAGAATAGAAATCCGAGAAGCTATGTAGGTGATTGCTAGGCCAGCCGACCGACCGACCGACCGACCGACCGACCGATCGACCTACTCCTCCCTCCTACTTCTTCGCCTGCCATCAACACACTGATAGCGCGCGCCCTAGAGATCACGTGTAACTCTCTCCCACTCTGCTACCTTCCCCCTCCACGTCGTCCGCGTCACGTTAGACTATTCCTTATTCCCCCACTCTGTTGCGCGAGACGAGCGAGGCTACACCTTCCTTATCGGCGGCGCTCAGACCGTCGAAAGCATTTAACGTTTCGATCGGAAAACGTTCTAAATTTTCTAAGATAAACATCTTAATCGTTTTATTTATTCATGATTATCCATCAGATTTATATTTTAAATCTATCCAATCTATCTGCATCCGTTTCTATCGTATATTTATGATACAGATATATCGCTTTTATTTTTATATTCGTTCCTAAAAATTGTCAATATTATTATCAAAATATATATATATATATATACATATAAATTTTTTTTTCTTTTTTATGCAGATCACTAGAGTGCTTTGTTAAACGTAGAAATTACAATGGAATAGGAGAATGATAAAAAAGAAGAAAGAAGTGAAAAAAATATTATCGAACAGTGGCGCGCTCCGTCGTAATTAGATTGCTACTCTCTTATAACATCCGCGTTTAATTATTTCATCGTGATCGAGAGTCCACGAGCGTCTCGTTAAATATATATATTTTCTAAATGCGTAAATTTACATAGAGAAATACAATAAAATTCGTATGTTACATGTGTCACGTAGTATCATATAATACATGGACGATTTCACGAGTAACATTAAGAAAATTTTCTCGAAGAGAAAAACAATAATAGAATATTATTCTTCCTCGTTGAAATAAGAAATAAGAAAAATAAAGAAAATAAGGAAAGAGATGAGCACACGCGGAAGATGAGCGCGAAGAAACAAGGAAGACGAGAGGGAATCATCCATCCTCCTGTTTGGTATCGGAGACGATATCACAGGAATGCCTGGAATTCTTGGATTGCAGTACTGAATTCAGTTGCTATGTCGAGATTATACGGATAACAGGAAGTTAAAGGAGGAAGAGTTGGCTCGAATTTGCCGCGCGGGACCGCCCGCTCGAAGAAACTTTCGTCCGGCTAACAGATACGCGAAGAAGGAATACGTCCGTCGGTTACCTCTCGACGCTATCGACGCTTCGTCGAGTCTCATACTATCCTGTTACCTTGTGATTAACTAAGGTTTAATCAGCTTTACAAGCTAAACTTCTTTTGTCAACATGCACGTGCATGATAATCCGGATGCTATCTTTCCAGGCCTGCTACGAGGCTCGATGATTGTCGGAAATGCTTTTCGTCGATACCACACGCACTCGGTGTTCCAACCTATCTCATCTCGAAAAACGTATATCATCGACAATGAATCGAGAAACATTCTGTTTCCCTGTTCATCCGATCAGACTCTACCTTGGATCTCACGCGAGGATTGACGTGTAACAAATAAACTTTCTTACATTTATGTTAACCTAATACACAAATTCACAGAATGTTAGACGCAGAGTCTCCTCTTTCGCGGATGAGACAATGAAGGTGAAAAGAGATAAAGAGCGGAGGTAATGTGGAAACCGACGTCTAACGTTGCATTCTTTTTCTTTATTGATTTTTACATGGTACCATTCGATCTTATGAGATTATTTCTCTTTCCTCTTTTTTTATCCTTTTTTCATAATATCGCGAGACGATCTAAAGTTTTCGTTGCATTCAAAGAAAGAAAGTAAGAAAGAAAGAAAGAAAGAAAGAAAAAAAGGAAAAGAAAGAGAAAAGATACAAAACGAAAAACAAGAGAATCGTCGTACTGCTTACGCGCTTTATTTGAGCAAGAAACATGAGACATAAATGGAAAACCATAAAGGTCGAGGTATGGGATGGACGTGTAAAAAGAAGGAAAAAGAAAAAAAGGAAAATTCGCAGAAGCTGAGGGTTCAAACGACCTCCTTATTCGTCTTACTTCCTGATTCTTACGTTCGCGAATTGATCGCACAATGTTCGCGACGTACGAACAACAAAACGCAAAACTTTTCACGATATGCCATTTTCTCGGTGTGTACCGACGCGACAACGATGACGACTAAGCTCAATTTATTTCTCTTTCTCTTTTCTTTTGCTTTTCTATTTATAATATGTTTTACGATCTCGAGAACATAAAGGTGCAAAACGTCGAGTGCGGAATAAGAATACAGACATTGTGCAATGAGTAAGGTGTAATTAACTCTGCGGGCGGTTGTCGCCATCGGGAAATTACGGCTATGTAATGATGGCTCGACGTGAACGAGCATGAAAAAAAAAAAGAAAAAAGAAAAAACGGACAAGTTTCGCTTTGAAACGTGAATTCGACGGTGATTATCGCCTACGACTTACGAAGTAGCTTTTATTATATCGCTCATAACTCGATTTCAAACGAATCGTGTTTTTAAATGAGAATGAAATGGGAAGAAGAGAATTGAGAAGGACGGACGAGAGAATATGGCGAACCATCAGCAAAAAAATGTCGGAAACTAGAGTTGAAAAGAAGAAGAAGGAGAAGAAGAAGAAGAAGTCTCGACGGTTTATTAAAGGGTTCTCCTAATAACGTGTTTGAGAGTAAAAGAAGAAGACACGCATCCATGTTCAAAGTATCCTCGAGTAAGAGAAAGGTGCTGATGGCGGAGGAGCGAAAAGAATGGTCGAAGAAAAATGTCGGAGGGTCTAACGCATCGAACAGCATATCTCGGCAGTAGTTTACTTATAGCAGCCGCCCCCGATTCATGGGAACATCCTCCGGGCAACGAACGAAACGTTCTTGCTTCCGAACGGGTCCTTGTCTTCTCCTTCGTCCTCGTCTTCTTCTTCTTCATCTTCATCTTCATCTTCATCGTTTTCTTCTTCTTCATCTTCATCGTTTTCTTCTTCTTCTTCTTCTTCTTCTTCTTCTTCTTCTTCTTCTTCTTCTTCTTCTTCTTCTTCTTCTTCTTCTTCTTCTTCTTCTTCTTCTTCTTCTTCTTCTTCTCCTTCGATTTCGATTTCGAGACACGAGCATGTAAACGGAGCCTCTTTCTAGACGGTAATTTCCGGGGAATGCGCCGATAGCCCTTCTTCGTTCGTGTCGAAAAACGGCGTACCTTTGTACCTCTTTTCTCTTTCTTCCTTTTTACACATTTCTGTGATCGATGGAAGAATGGTCCAGGAGTAAATACGACTATTATAATTATTTCCATCTTTTGTAACGTCCGTCTAACGTCGACGTATATTCTTTTTGAAAATAATTAAATTACGATTGAATCGTAAAATGCGACGAGACGTTCGTAAAGATAATAAAGAAAATGAGAAATGCAATTCATGTAGATATTCGAGATGTAAATTCGTATAACGATAAATATTTCTTTAATACGTAGGAAGATCTGGTGCTCGTTAGTAAAGCGAGAGAAGGGTCCATTGCCTTCCTTCGAGAGAAACAAGGAGAGAAAGGAGAAAAGGAAAACGAGAAGCAGCGAAAGGGAGAATAGGTACGTAAGGGCAGGTATGCGGGTGAGAAATACCCGGGGCGCGTCCAGATCCGCCCACGTTTAAGTCGCACACCCGCGTTGCTGGCCAGCACTCTTCCATCAGGACTTGCCCCTTGGGCTTTTTCGAAAAGAGAGAGAGAGAGAGAGAGAGAGAGAGAGAGAAGGGGAGGGAGAGAATGAGTCGTGGTAAAGTCTCAGGACCCTAACAGCTCTTCCTTCCAGGTCTCCTCCACCTGCAGAGAGAAGCACAGCTCGTGCACGCGATCCACGACTCGAACGCCCCCGCGGGCACACGCCGTCATCGCGCCAGCTTTCAGGAAGGAGCAAGATCCAAGAAGAAGAACAAGAAGAAAAAGAGGAGGAGGAGGAGGAGGAGGAAGAGAATATGTTCAAAGAATATTCGTTCTTCCTACAATTTTTAATACTATATTTGTCCTAAAGATTTTTAATTGATTAATGAATTTTTTCATCAGAAAATATTGATTAATTATTAACTTTTACATTATCCTTGTTTGTTCGTCACAGCTCATTTGTTATTATATTTTAAGAATCAATTACGGTCTAAGGAAAATTTTTAATTTATCCGATAAAATGATCAAACTTATCGAGGGTTGGAAAAAATGCACCTTTTGGTATGCAACCCAGCCCGACATGCGCGTATTCGGATGGACTAACGCAAGGGCGGGGCGGCCTAAGAGGTTACATATTTTCTTTTTACTTCAATCTCTCTTTTATTTTACATTACAGAATGATACTGTAATTGCGGAATACTTTTTTTCTTTCGATTGTTGTTTTATGAAGGTTAAATGTATAGCTAGTGTTGCATATGTATGTAAAGGAGAATCAGTAAAGAAATGGAAATGAATGGTATTAAGGTCGATTCGATTTGGTCGTGCATATCGATCCTTCGTGCATTATGTACGGGTGCAATTGGATAGAGGAGGCGGAGATGAACTTGTAACGTACGTGGAGCGTGGGATCGCCGGAAGGTATACTCTCTTCATCTTCTTCGTATTCTTCCTTTTCTACCTCGAGGTCGGACAATCGATGCACGATCGCAAGTATCATAAGAAGGAAAGGTAGCAAAGAGACGAGTACAATAATGGCGGATTAGAATGCGAAGAGTAATAAACTTCAGCGTGGCGTGGCTAATTATACGGTTTTTCTCTATAAGGTGTCTCATTCCAATAGATCTAGACGAGTAACGTTGATATAACATAGAAAATTACAACAATAATCGTATAATGAATTTTTTTCTTCAACTCAAATTCTTTTTCTCCTTTTTTTCTCTTTTCTTTTTTCTTTTTTTTTTTTTCTTTTTATAATGTCATTCTATTAAAAAATTTTAATGTAATTACCATAAACTGGAAATTATTCGGAATAGATAACGTAGAAGCATGTTTAGAAATTATCGAATCATCCCAACGCGGAATTCCTCGAGCGATGCAACTCCTACGGTCGTTCGTTTATTTATTATATGATTAGCTTTCATTTCGAGACCACGGCCATGAAGAGTCTTCGTGACTCGTAAAGTTTCACTCGAGCCACCAAACGAATTCCATCTTTGAGCCTTCGTAATAAATCGCGTGTATCTCGAAGTTTTGTTCATTCGATCTTTTTCTCCTCCTTTTTTTAACTTTAATTTATCAACAATTTCTAAAACACTTACGACAAAGAACGATGATCGTATGAGATCATTATTAAAATCACACACACGGAAAAAAAACAAGAAAAGAGAATAGAAAAAAACAAAAAAAAAAAAAGAAAAAAAAAAGAAAAAAATCTAATTCCTCGTATCTTCGACTTTTTCAACGCCTACTCACATCGTACTAATAAAAAGAAAATGAAAGACTTTGCATAATAAGGTTCTGGCGCCGATACGTTATTTTTACAGACTCGTAATCGTAGATAGATAGATATATACATGCAGTGTTACACTTGCCCGTAGTAAAAGTAAAACGATTATCATCGTCGGAGGTTACATCATCAGAATTATTCATACCTATACAATCGTAAAACATTGCTCGTTCATCGAGACAGGAATAACCGATGAATTTGCTCTCTATGATCAAAGAAGGAAGGAAGGAAGGAAGGAAGGAAGGTACAGTACGATCGATTTATATCGATTAAGACATCGAGGCGTAACCAATTCGGTCGGACCGTAGAGTCGTTTCGAAAAGGTCGAAAAGACCGAGCCGGAAATCGCGCGTAAGCCCGAGCATCGGGCCTGATAGCAAGACGATACGCGATTCTTATTAATTAAGACGGTCTGTTCGCGCGCCAGGTGTATCTGCTTCACCTGCGGCCAACAGCGGCAACAGCCTTTGCGCGTTGTAATCCACATAACACAGAGAGAGAGAGAGAGAGAGAGAGAGAGAGAGAGAGAGGAGTTGGGTCAACTTGATTCGAGCAACGTGCTATGCGGTGTGGTACGTCTGTCGCGTTACTACCGTTGGCCTCGCGTGTATAGGGGTCGCCCACATGACATCTGACCCACATCCGGCCGACGTTCACGAAAGCAATATCGTTCGGCTATTAAAACGAAATAGTTCGGTTCGCGTATGTTACAGGAAGGATTTACGGCTAATCGAGCGATACTCGATTGCTCCAACCGCTACCAATTTTTTTTTTTTTTTTTTATTATTATTTGTTCATCGCGTTATGCTTGCTCGTAATGTCACGGTCGAGATTTTCAACGGAAGTCATACCGTGCTAATTTTATTCCGAATTTTGTAATATTTTAAAGTTTTCCTTTAAAGATATATGTTTATTGTTATCGCTCGTCGTCGTGAAACGTGCTCGCACGTTTGCCAATTCTTCCGTAAACGATTACAACGTGTTTATCAATAAAAGATCTCTTTTCTCGAAAGATTTCTTGTATCACGAATGCATCGCTTGAATTATGAGTTGCCTTTTACGTTAGCAAGAACGTCAGGTGTAAAACGGAAATACATGAGTAGCCGTAAACCGTCCCGTATAACGTTTTACTCGAACATTAAATAACAGACAGGCGTTCGATAGAAATAACGATACTATAAAAATAGAAACTAAGATTACGAATGGAGATAAGAAGAAAATCTAATACCTTTTGGTAGAATATCTTTCAATAAATAATCTATTCAAATAATTTCCCTTCCCTTTCCTTCTCTTCCCTTTCTATTCTTAGATAAATACGTGTAAAAAGAATAGCTTCGTTTAAATATCCAATAAAATTTCTCCGTAGAAAATTCCTTTCTATATCGGAATCTACGAAGAAACAACCGAGAAATAGCAAAATGAGTATCCCAAAGAGAATTTAAGTGAGTTTACGGATACATCGTTCGATCGAATGCAACGCGGATGTGGACGAAACGACTTAAACACCTTTTCCTTCCGCGTAAACGATAGCCGCGAGTCTCCTTGAAATTAAAAGCAACACCTGTAGGTACGTAGCTGCTCGGTAGGCCACGATGTGGTGTAACGCAATAATGGCAAATAAGCCGACGGTATCCGAACACCGACGTTCGATAACGACCAGAAATTCCCGATTATTAACGGTACAGGTGTTTACACGAGGAACCGACGATCGCATCGCTCGCTTCAAGATCGAATAACCGAGGATTGCGCAAGGGAATACCCTGCTTTCTGTTTTCTTTTCTCTCTCTCTCTCTCTTTCTCTCCTTCCTTTTTTATTTCCACTCCTCCAAAGGCGTGCGTTCGGTAAACGTTTTATTCCTTTCGTACGATCCAATGCAATGATTATGAGAGAAGTTAGAAAGAAAAATCTTCGATTCATTACGTATTCCGAATTTTGAATAACCTTGATTCTTAACGATCACGAAAAATAACTCTTAGGTACGAGATAACTATATGGTATGATCAAGTTCGTATTCTTTAGAAATTATATATGTATATATATATATATATACGTGTGTGTGTGTGTGTGTGTGTGTGTGGTGCTCGTGTGGATCGAATAGCGATGTTCGCTTTCGTGCGAATACATTCGTTGATTTCGAAAGAGAAAATAATTTGAAGAACCGTGGGATTCGAGAGACGAATAAACGACGTCTTCCTTCTATTGTTACTCCCTTTTTCGCCTCGATTATCCATCATAATGATATATATATATATATATATATATATATATATATATATATACATACATATATATATATATATATACGATAGGATTTCGAAGAGGAACATGCCGGTTACGTTTGGCATATTATACATACCTAACCAACACGTATCCACTGCGTGTTGCGTAAAGATCGTTAAGAAATAAATCACGCTTGTTTCGTGGTTTTACTCGGAATTCATAGAATTGCCATTCGCTAATATCCGTCCTTGGTCATCTTCAAAAATGTTGAAAAAACAGTTAACACGAATGAACCGGCGAAAAGAACGTCGTCGTTCGTACGAGAAAACGAATATACGAAAAGAGAAAATAAAAACAAAAAAAAAAAAGAAAAAAAGAAGAAGAAGAAAATGACGACGACGACGATTCGACGAGCAAAATCGATTAACACAATTCTCGTTAATTAACGAACTCTCTCGTGCGACAATTCGCAAGGAGAGTCGCAGGTGCGAGTTTGAATCAAGGTGAAAGCCGTGGATATCGATTCGGCACAACGAAAATTGGCGAGACGCTTGTATTCGGGCATGCAGCACGTAAATGCAAATTCCACCTTTTTCCCCCTCGATCTTTTCACCCTAATTTCCTGGCGCGATGGCATCTGACGACGACGACGACTACGACGACGACGATTACTACTACTACTACTACTATTATTATTATTACGAGTTTGTGTGCACACGAAGCGCAACTTTGCTCGCGTGCTCGCTCAGCTTCCGGTTCCGGCGCGTGCTACTATATACACACACCAAACCACAAAACTCAACATATACGTACGTCATAATATCCTGTAATACCCGAGCACATATACACACATACACATAAAGAGAGAAGGAGAGAGAGAGAGAGAGAGAGAGAGTAGCAGGGTGGTAAGAGCTCCTTCACCTTCGTAGAAGCTTTGCACCTGACGCGACGAGGAACTCAACGATGCCGAAGGGTTGCCGGTGAAATTTCAAGGGCCGCCCCTTCCTCGTAGATCATCAGATAAAGATGTTAATGATCGCGAATTGAGACGAGGAGTCAGGGACGTATCGACAAATGACCCGCTGAAAATAATTACCTTTGGCCAAGCCCGGCAACGTCTTTGTTTCGTGATCGAGTCTTACCTCTTTTGTGTCAGCCACAAAATAATTCTTTTAATTCGTACCTGCCAGCTGCGATCGCGCGAATCATTTTTCTTTTTATTATTCCCTTCCCTCTTAAGATAAGCTTCTGGTATATCACGAGCAAAGGGAAAAAATTCTTTGGAAAGAGTCAAAATGAAGGACTCAAAAATAAAATCGATCGATTAGTTATTATACGTTTCG